TAGTTGAACATTTTATTTAAGTTTCGCGTTAGCAGCGTATCGACGTTCTCAGAGTGACTCTTTACTTAACACTTTAATCCGATTCGTGTTTTAGTTCTATTAACCGAGCGGGAGGTCTGTATGGGAGAATCTTGACCGAGGTCGCCAGTACAGACCTCACTGCGTTCGGTCTGTACCAGTGACCGAGGTCAAGATTCTCCCATACAGACCGACCTAGCTCGGTTAATAAGATGTTTATTATGCGGCTTTGTCTTATATGCCAATTTTGTATATTCTTTGTACCTTGTTTTCTAGACCGGTCTAGATGCCGGTCTAGATGGGAAAATCTAGGCCGCTCTCAATATTGATTTTAGCCAATCAAATTCGTGAATTCGGTAGTTCCCAGTCCTTGTGAGATAGCCATATAATAAAGAGGCGTATTGACCCGTTCATGTTGTGTTTCGTTAGTTTAAAGTCTTATTCCTTGGGGAAAAGGGGTTGTAGTGTATGCTGGGTTATGTAGAAGACAATTATGGGATAAGGATATGGAGAGTACGGAGTCGAAGAGTTTAGGATCGCGGTGCCTAGTTCGATTGCAGTAATCCGGTTCAATCCGTAGTTAAAATACGTATATTAAAACTCTACAATGGTGGTTTAAAAACCAAATTTGATATCATATGACGCTCACTAAAGGTAATAAAGTTCCTCTGTATTTGGACCCATTTAAAGCCATTTTTGGTAACAAAAATTCTCATCAGATGATGATGAGTGCTATGTTCTACACTTTAAGTGTCTTGCGACATACTTGAGAGTGCTCATCAGTATGCTCCCAAGTTTACAATACATCATACATACCTTTTGCAAGTGATGAATTGCGTAAATATTTTTGGCAAAGCATATTATATTGAAGACCAACGCGGCGCTAACAGGAATAACCATGGTAACAGCCAACGGTTTTGTATGGGATATCCAGCAATGCACCGAATTTCCTTTTAAAAGAGGCAAAGAAAAAATTTAGTCCTAAAGTAGTTTATGAAAATGTTTTGAGAAATGAAGAGACACACGATCCAATGGGTTTTATCCAAAGGGCATCCCATTCTTAATTTTCCAATATAAATTCGTATAGTTCTTATTCATAATTATGAAAGAGGTAATGGTAATGACTATTACGTGCATTTTTCATATGAATTACAGCGGCCATCCAGGCGAAGAATGCAGCAAACATCAACGTATCAATGCCAGGATTTTAGAAACTATACCCTACCCCTCTCTTAAACCAACATTGACCCTAACTTGTCAACTATCAGTTGACTGTTTTTGTGTTAGGGGAAGGGTGGGTGCATAGGGGTAGGTCAGATATCCCAATCAGCAGAGAATTTCTGAGACACCAAATCTCTTCTGTTCAAATGTTGAACGAATACAAAGTCCGTAAAGATGGTAAGAATCGATTTTTAAACTCGACATTACACAAAATTTTAGTTAAATTGTTACGTTCTACAAACCATATCCTATATGAAAAGTTTNGTAACATCTGCCTCTACATGACTGTGCTGACGAATTCTTCTGTTTAAGTATTGCTGTGAAAAACACCTTTTCGTTTGGTACAGTGATGTTTTGTTGACGGAGTAGTTCAGAGATATTTCACAATCTGATAAGTTCATTCTTAAACTTCACAACAAAGTCATCTTTTCTTGAACCTGAATCAGAGAAAAATATCGAAGTAATTGGTGGTACTGACTCCCACAGTATCAGCAACTCCTTCGAAAATGATATTCATCCAGAAGCTAAGAGAGAAGGAAACCGTTGCATCCGATACCTTTGTCAAGTTAGTATGGGATTTTGCCAGAGAAAACTGAAATGACAAATAAATAAATATTAAAAGAAAAAAACAAACAGGACATTAGCCTACATACACACATGTGCACATATCTGTCTATTCTATCTGAATCAAAATCAAGGAAGAATAAATCAATTTGTCAAAGCCTTCGATGGTCAACGCTCCTTTCAGCCTGTTGATTTAGTTATCCAGAAACAAATCGTTCACTAACACATTGTACTTACCAATTGATATTGGAAATTGGAAATCTGTTACTTTGGATTCGGCGTTATGTTCTTCATTTTCCTGAGCCTTTGCTAGCAGTGGAAGACTCGATAGTGCAATAGGGAAGAGAAAAATCGATATCTTAACCAAGGCGCTAGAATTCATGATCAGAGATCTTTTAAGGTTCATGAACCAAGTAGAATCCTAGTTAGACCATAAGTGCAATTTTATAATGGCAAACACATCTCACCTCCCCCTTTTCACAAATGTATGTTATGATGAGTAATAGCTCATTAGGAAGGACTTTACGAATTCAAAACAACTGCCTTGATATAAGTAGTTATCTTATGTCTCACTGTTGTCCCGTTTTCTCTCCTTATCGGTGATCTTTTTTCCGGCCCAAGTAATTTAATATCCACGGGATTGTTGAGCTGCTTTTCTCTATTTGAAAGTGTAAAAGTCGAATAAAGAGTCATAGTTTAGGTGCAAAGAGCATCTTAGTACACGATCCATAAGTTTTACCTAGAGACGAGGTTTTCTTCTCCCGCGCTACGTTCTGCAAACGTGATTGATCTGCTGCAAGAAACCTTTTAGGAAATCAAATACAATTGAGACCTTGGACACCCAAAAAACAAATATAACAAGAAATTTTATTGGTATGACAAGCAGCTGAACCGATTGTTAATTTAGAGAGATTTAAAATTTATCGGCTAAAACCTTTAAGTAATCAACGAAATCCGAAGACGTAGAGAAGCCCCTTTTTCTTGATTGCAAATTTAATTTTTAATGAAACAAAATTGCTTTCGAAATTGCATAAAAAAAAAAAAAACGATGAATGATTCATTTCATGACCGGCGCTACAATATAACGGTTTTTGGATGCGTCCGTACTCTACATGTCATATACAAATAAAGTGGCGAGTGTTTGTCAAGACCCACAAAGGAGATCAATTTCTCATCCTGACCCAAATCTGACGGATGATTTTGAATTTAAAAAGATTATTCATTTAGGAATTTCGTTAAATTCTTGCCCCTGTTAAGAGCTGCATGCGTAAAATGGCCTTTTCTTCACCACTTATTGATAGCAAAACATAAATAAAAAGAGAAATATTTGGAGATCGGAGACTTCATTGTTCTTCCAAAAATGGTAGTGCTGATCTCATAAGAAATTCTGCAATTGGACGTTTACCAGAAAAAAAAATGTATTTTTCTACGTTTTTATCACGCCATCAGGATCTATGTTAAATTCACAATAAAATTGGCTACAATGAACCCCAGTTGCTATGACGCATATGTTTCATTAAAAAAAATCCGACTNGCTCGGAAATAGACGTGGCCCATAATTGTCCTTTATTTCAAATGTTAGGTTAAGCCTAGCTTAACTCAGGGCCTGCAACAGTTGAGTAAGTTACATTTTGTGCTCTAAATTAACCACAAAAGCTGAGGACAACATTAGACGGGGAACATGCGGCATCCTGGCAAGTCGCAGAAAGCTTGAGAAATCGATTGGATAATTAAAAGTATGAGCTTTTTATGGATTGTAGAAACTGGTCTAACCATTTCAGCAACGTAAAGGGTGTTTTGAAACGTAGATTTCAATATAAATGGAATTAATTTCACTGCCGGGTTATTGGACAATCATATGCATGAGTACCAGAGTACGTAGGACGTCTATCAAACACCTGTTTATTTGAGCAACACAATATGGTTCGATCTTTCAATCGACGCTAATTTTCTACAATTTCATGTATTTACTGGTATATAATTTTAAATCCTATTTCTATCATACTTATTACAGTAATAATATCAAATGACGTGCGTTCCTACACTAGTGATAATACGATTGCGATCTACCTCTACTATCACGGTCACTGATGACCTCTATATAGGTGGCAATGAACTCTTAATGTTTTAGTGAAGCAGTTCGTTTACAGTCGACAGTTATTAGATGCATATTTTATTGTGTTCGTTTTCGCCTCCACTATATCAAAGCTTCATTAGAAGGGCAGAGAGTCTCTCTCCATTTCTAGAAGAATATTTATTTCTTGTTGGAGTTGTGACTCACTTGCTCCCTGGTGGCAATGATAGTTGAATCCTCAGCTCTTTCAACATCAGTGATTCCCAGTGTGCGTTGGTCATGGGTGGAGTTTGTTTGGGGTTCAACTGCACGACTCCTTCGATTAGAAAATCTCTCTTTGAAGAGACCTCGAACTCTTTTAGTGGTTACAAAACACAAAGTGATGAAAAACCCTGTAAAGCATTATATTAGTAAATTAGCCATATCGAATGACAACATAAGAAAAGTACCGTAGCCATGGTGTTGTGTCTTCACTAAATATTACCACAGTATCCTGTGAGATAATGAATCTTCTGCTTACGGGATAAAGATTAAATTTCAAGCTTGAAATACATCTTACCCAAGCTACAGAGGGATAAAATCGGCGAATTAAAACCACTTCTTTTAATTTTGATGAACTAAAAATTTAAATATATGTGAGAAAAAAAGTGGGATATAAAATCCTCAAAACACGGAGAGTCTTCACCCTCATCAGGACAAGTACAGGCCCAGTTCGGACTTATGAGGAGACAGGGATTAAAAGCATTGCTGTTACGCTAACGTAACTCCTTATACAATGTAACTCAATCAGCTCATGTACCTTGCAAACTGTTCAACACAGCGGAGGGGTATTGCAAGAACTCAGTTTGTTTCAAATTAGTAGCAAGCTCCAGAATCCAGGTCAGACCCATGACTGTGGTCAGTTTGATGCAGATGAGAGTGAGAGAAGCTTTAGAGCTGTTAGTTGCTGCGAAGTTGGCAGCCTGAGTAAAAAAGAAAAATTATCAGAAAACTCCTTTAAGCATTGGCTTACCGCTGAGTGGCGTCTTATTACGTCACCGGGCTTCAGAAGAGTATATGTGGTAATTTAGACCAAGTGAGAACCAAGTATGAAGTTTTTATTCTCTCTGAAATGTTTATGGTTCAATATGATTTACCTGTTGTAAATGACGAATGGCACACACACTTTTAGCGAAGCAAATTAGATTGAAGGTCAAAGAAGCGCCTACAGGTGTTGCCACGAAAACGGCCAGGGCCGTGTTATCTGATATCCAACAGTACATCAAATTTCCTAAAGAGAAAAATCTGACAATAAATTGCAACTTATTGCAGAATGGCAGATTATGATAAATAATTAGTGAAAATATTTGATTGCCTTTTAGCTTATAGTAAAGTATTACCTCGTGAAAAGCAAAAAAAAGAGAAGCGAAACCATCCTGGAAAGGAACCTTCATAATTCGAATAAGAAATTAAGTGTGGCTTTTTTTTTAACTTTTTATTTTATCCCATGAGTAATTCCAACGTATTTTCTACTTGAGCAAAAATTACCAGCTTCAGGGAGTTTGACTGTACGTCATCAAACGAAAATGGAATGGTCAAGCTGAGAAACTTTTTATGGGATATACTTTTGTGATGTTTTGTTTACACACCGTATCCGATATGGAGAGTACCAGTGAAATCCAGCACAGAGCATAAACCAACGATTACTGTAGGCAGTCCCCATCCCATCATGCAATACTTGACGAAGATCTTTCTGGTGTCTGATGGTTGCCTATTTGTGTCAGCCACTAGTTTGTAAAAGTAAAAGGAACACCATTTCATTAGGAGCATTGTTGAATCAATTTTTGAACATTGTCCAATTCGCATGGTTTTTTCTTCAAATACGAAACAAATTGACATAAGTGTTATGGAGCAAATCTAGGTGAAAGAAAGCCAGTTCGGTCATTGTTTGACAGCTAGAACAGGGACAGGTTTTCATCCACACAAGGAAATGGATTTCGGAATTATAGATTTGGAGCTCTTCCTTCTAATGAAACAAAATGAACTCAAGTCGGTACTAGCTAAAGTCGCGTAAATGCATGTTCCGCCAACTACAGTGTATTGCATCTCTATGTGTTTGGGTGTGTGTTTACCAGCTTAGGGTTTGTTTTCGAGATATTGGAAGAATTGGATTTCTGAGGCGGTTGCCTGCTCCGTTTGGAATGCATATATGACATAAAAGTAAGTGCATCTTTTACGTTCAACCTGACGCAAACGGTTAGAGTTTCCTGTAAGGATGGGATGCTTAGTGGTCCTATGTGACCAGTGCACTTACCTGTTGTACTAAAAGTACTTGCTGCACCTATGGCAAAGAATTGATATGGAAAGATATGGCTTTCGGAGGCGGGTTTCTGCTTCGTTTGGGGTCACTAAATGAAGGAAGGCAAGTGAACTATTCACAGTCAACCTAACTCTGAGTTAGAATATCCTCTGGGTGTAGTTTGCTTAGTGTCTCGTATAAAGGTTCACTCACCTGTTGTAGTAAAGGTGCATGCTGTATCAAGGGCCATCACGGCCATCCATGAAAATGTGGAGAGAACAAAGAAATGAAGTAAAATGGCCACTAATTGGCAAAGGAGAGGGACTTCTGTTGACTTCTTTGAGCTGAGAAAAAATGCTTGATAACACAATGACGCTCCAGAGATATTGATCACGCATTTCCCGGGTAGATTTCTAAGTTCTTTGAAAGACGAGTAAACAATGAGAAGAAGGCACAGTGAGACGATGGACAAAATCATACCGGCAAGGGTGATGTGATTTAACTCTTTTTCATACTTCTTGAACGCATCTATTGGTCCAGGCTGGGCTGTTGGGCACAAAGTGTAAACATTGTTTCCCTGCAATCTTATGGAATCGTTGTGATATGAAATCAGAGTTGGTGTCAATGTCACGAGCGTTTTGTTTGATGACAAACTTGCTTGACTTGATCGATTATTTGCTAGAATTAAAACTTGGCAAGTGCAGTTGTCAATGGTGGCCGTACAGTTGAGCAATTGCGAAGATATGTTGAAAACCTGAGATCGCAAAACTTCAGTTTTGATCGTAGGTTGTGAATTCTTTCTCGATTCGGTTGTGAATTTTATGTTTGTACTCACATCAAGGAGGATTCGTAATGGCGGAAGGAACGATTCTATTGACACGCTACTTTTCTGAGGAATCAGCCATCCTTCCTGATTACACAAAGCACAATGAGGATTCCTGTAGCTTCTTTTACCATCAACTGTGAAGACCATAGAGTATAATTCACACAATTCTCGAACAATAGGCGAGATATTTAACTTATTCGAAGCACAGGGTGCATCCTTTACCACACAACTTCTATAATAGTCTGCAAGGTCGTGAGTTGGGGCGTATTTCCAGGAACAATCTTTGTGCTCGTTCAAAAATGTTGACACAGCAGTGAGGTTCGGAGTAGGTGGACTTCCTCTGGTACTTTTACACGAAATATCTAACCCCCAGAAACTTGCATTTTCTTCGTCATTACATTTGGCGCAGGCGATACTTCTGTATGTTACGTTTTGTTTCATGGCAAAGACAGGGAGTTCTTTTTGTAAAGTCATATTCAACTGCTGGACAGTCAGGGTGTGGCAGTCGTTGGTACTCAGACTGTTGAACGATCTGCAAGTAGATCGCATGATTACGCCAGACCTTAAATATCTGTTGATATCTCCACATTCCACATCCTGAAGTAGCACATCACAGTTATTCTGATTACAACTGAGGAAAACACAATTAAGAGGTATTAAAGGCCCGTTAAGAAATGGGAACCGAATTTTAAACGAGGCTTTAGTGGCTTCTGTCTTATTTTTTTTTCTTTTTTTATTATGTTTTGATCAGGCCCTTTCCAGTATCAGTCTTCAAACACATTCCCCCTCCCAACGTGTCGTGTGATTAGTTCAAATGACAGACACCTTAGTGACGAGGGGCCCTGGAATTTCTCAAAAGTTCTGGAAGATACAGAAACCAAACTAGCTGCCCTTTCGTTAGCCTTGTTTGTATTTGAGATCGAGATATAAAAAGTTTTGAAAATGGAACGATGGAAATATCAAAAAGGGAAAAAGAAAGGACTGGTTTTCGAGAGGAAAAAGAGCGAAAATACGGCAAAAGAAAACTTCTGCAGCACCAAATATCACGGATGTCATAGATCAGATGCAGTATTTCTCGTGGCGAATAAATGCGATAGTGATGAAATTAAACCTTAAGGACCGGATGTAGGATAGATTGAAGAGCTGAAGCCCAAATCTTAGTTCCTTTTAAAAATTACAGTTCTTTAATTCTTCTTTTCGTTGCGAGTATTGAATATTCTCCAAATACTTACTGAAAGCTGGCTGTGGAAAAAAACGGAAGGTATGGTCTGTAATAATTTCTGTCCTCAAGTGAGGGGAAATCTTGACTTTCATTAATGATGCTTTTGATATGGAAAGATATGGCTTTCCGAGGCGGGTTTCTGCTTCGTTTGGGGTCACTAAATGAAGGAAGGCAAGTGAACTATTCACAGTCAACCTAACTCTGAGTTAGAATATCCTCTGGGTGTTGTTTGCTTAGTGTCTCGTATAAAGGTTCACTCACCTGTTGTAGTAAAGGTGCATGCTGTATCAAGGGCCATCACGGCCATCCATGAAAATGTGGAGAGAACAAAGAAATGAAGTAAAATGGCCACTAATTGGCAAAGGAGAGGGACTTCTGTTGACTTCTTTGAGCTGAGAAAAAATGCTTGATAACACAATGACGCTCCAGAGATATTGATCACGCATTTCCCGGGTAGATTTCTAAGTTCTTTGAAAGACGAGTAAACAATGAGAAGAAGGCACAGTGAGACGATGGACAAAATCATACCGGCAAGGGTGATGTGATTTAACTCTTTTTCATACTTCTTGAACGCATCTATTGGTCCAGGCTGGGCTGTTGGGCACAAAGTGTAAACATTGTTTCCCTGCAATCTTATGGAATCGTTGTGATATGAAATCAGAGTTGGTGTCAATGTCACGAGCGTTTTGTTTGATGACAAACTTGCTTGACTTGATCGATTATTTGCTAGAATTAAAACTTGGCAAGTGCAGTTGTCAATGGTGGCCGTACAGTTGAGCAATTGCGAAGAAATGTTGAAAACCTGAGATCGCAAAACTTCAGTTTTGATCGTAGGTTGTGAATTCTTTCTCGATTCGGTTGTGAATTTTATGTTTGTACTCACATCAAGGAGGATTCGTAATCGCGGATGGATCGATTCTATTGACACGCTACTTTTCTGAGGAATCAGCCATCCTTCCTGATTACACAAAGCACAATGAGGATTCCTGTAGCTTCTTTTACCATCAACTGTGAAGACCATAGAGTATAATTCACACAATTCTCGAACAATAGGCGAGATATTTAACTTATTCGAAGCACAGGGTGCATCCTTTACCACACAACTTCTATAATAGTCTGCAAGGTCGTGAGTTGGGGCGTATTTCCAGGAACAATCTTTGTGCTCGTTCAAAAATGTTGACACAGCAGTGAGGTTCGGAGTAGGTGGACTTCCTCTGGTACTTTTACACGAAATATCTAACCCCCAGAAACTTGCATTTTCTTCGTCATTACATTTGGCGCAGGCGATACTTCTGTATGTTACGTTTTGTTTCATGGCAAAGACAGGGAGTTCTTTTTGTAAAGTCATATTCAACTGCTGGACAGTCAGGGTGTGGCAGTCGTTGGTACTCAGACTGTTGTACGATCTGCAAGTAGATCGCATGATTACTCCAGACCTTAAATAGCTGTTGATATCTCCACATTCCACATCCTGAAGTAGCACATCACTGCTATTCTGGTTACAACTGAGGAAAACACAATTAAGAGGTATTAAAGGGCTGTTAAGAAATGGGAACCGAATTTTAAACGAGGGTTTAGTGGCTTCTGTCTTATTTGTTTTTCTTTTCATATTATATTTTGATCAGGCCCTTTCCAGTATCAGTCTTCAAACACATTCCCCCTCACAACGTGTCGTGTGATTAGCTCAAATGACAGACACCTAAGTGACCAGGGGCCCTGGAATTTCTCAAAAGTTCTGGAAGATACAGAAGCCAAACTAGCTGCCCTTTCGTTAGCCTTGTTTGCATTTGAGATCGAGATGTAAAAAGTTTTGAAAATGGAACGATGGAAATATCAAAAAGGGAAAAAGAAAAGACTGGTTTTCGAGAGGAAAAAAAGCGAAAATAGGGCAAAAGAAAACTTCTGCAGCACCAAATATCACGGATGTCATAGATCAGAAGAAGTATTTCTCGTGGTGAATAAATGCGATAGTAATGAAATTAAACCTTAGGGACCGGATGTAGGATAGATTGAAGAGCTGTAGCCCAAATCTTAGTTCCTTTTAAATTACAGTTCTTTCATTCTTCTTTTCGTTGCGAGTTTTGAATATTCTCCAAATACTTACTGAAAGCTGACTGTGGAAAAAAACGTAAGGTATGGTCTGTAATAATTTCTGTCCTCAAGTGAGGGGAAATCTTGACTTTCATTAATGATGCTTCTGAACATCTATATTTTCTGAAAATACCTTAATTGTACTCTTACGAATTCCCATCTTTTTCATGCCATTGTGTTAAGGTGGATACCGGTAGCCCCTAATCGAAATTATTACTTTACAGTTTATATGGGAACCCTTTGCTTATAATCACCTCGAGTAAAAATCCAGACAACAATCACCAAATGTTTTGCAAGCGTTGTCGCAGTAACAGGTCATGTTCGGTTTTCTTTCTTTAGAGAAACATCTGCCTGTACACGACTGGTCTGTCGAAGTCTTCTGTTTGTTCACCTCGTCGAAAAAAGACCTTTCCGGGAGAGAGACATTCTGCTGATGGAAAATATCTCTCAGACTAAGGGTCTGTGCCTTGTATCTCACGATGAAGTCGTCCTTTGAACCTGAATCTGGAAGAAAAAAAATCATCATGCATTCGGCGGTGTTCGCGTTTACTCTAAATATTATTTGTTTTTAAAGACAGCACTCATGCTGTCTTCCTCCGTTTATGTAATATAATTCCCCCATAACTTTTCTGTATCCTGGCACGGTGATTTTACTTTTTTTGGACGAAATGACCTTAAGATACTTTAACAGCTGATAATTTCACCCCTGAACCCGAAAGTCACCTTTGTAAAGATCTAAATCAGGAAGAGAAAGTGAACATTCTATGGGTGATGTTGATGGATATATTTTTTAAGAATCACTTGGTGAAGAGGATAAATATGTATCCAGAAGAAAGCCGACAACTCAAACTGAGATACTTACGGAGTAATATTGGAACGTTACTAGAACCGTCTGAGCTACTGGATCCTTGAACATTGTCATGTTCTTGGCGTCTTGCGGCCAAGAAAGTAAGACTCAAAAGTACAACACCTACGGTGTACTTGAGGCTTGAGGTGCCCAGGTTCATTTTTAGGCAAACCATGAAAAAATTTATGAGGACCAGGCTTTCGAAAAACCTATATAAGTTTCACGCCGAGAAAATGTCTCACTTCGCACTCCATACTAATGAAAAAAATATGTTGGTTCTTCGACCTGAAGCTGTAGCTCATTGTGAATGACTTCCTGGAGTATATGCCTTTGAAATGAAGATTGGATTCGGTTTTAATTAAGCCCACACTTATTTGGTTCTTCACTGTTTACCCAAATTTCAGATCACCCTTCTCTTATTTAAGACTGAAGTCTTAAATAATTTAAGACTGATTTAAGACTTATTTAAGACTGAAGTCTTAAATAATTAAATAAAAGTAAGTTGAGGTTATTCAATGTAAAAAATAAAATTCAAAGGCCCACTGAGTTGAAAATTGTTTGAGAAAACGCAATTTAATTTCCAAAAGATTCCTTTTTCTAGCATGCCGAGTTTTCACTATTTCGATGTGAAAGCACCTCAGGTTCTGAAAAAAAGACAAGAAAGATATCGATAAATTGAAGGGAAGTTACAAAAATCAAAATTAAGTTATCATATCAATTGAAACTGCCATTTTGTCCAAAACAAATGTAGAAGTCTCAAAACATTTTTGGTAAATATCTTTTTGCTTTCTTCTGTTTCTGTTGGTTCTTTCTTTACAAGCATGTTAAATTAGCGTTGGACCCATGCCGCAAAACTCTTCACACACAAAGCCTTAAATTTCAAAATATTTAAATTTAATAACTGACCTACTTCACCTCATAAGATTAAAGAAAAGCAGCTTGAAGTCTGTCATCTCAAACCAATGCTATTAGCCGTTTTTTGCAAGTAATGAAAATCAGTATATTGACTGATTCTCAATGAAACACTTGGTAAGTGAATTAAGTAACGTTTTTATATCTTAGAATAACACATTAATTAAAATAGAGCTAAAATTTAGTTAAGTCTACAAAAAAGGGTATCCTTATAAATTATTTTTTTAAGCACACAATCAAGTAGTTGTTGTTAATTTTTTTTTCTTCGCAGAAATTATTCAAAGTTAAGTTCACAAATATTGTGCAAAAGCATAACAACTAAAGTGCCTGGTTTCATACTAGATTAAGTCTTGTGTTACGAGTCCGCGGTCGATCAGTTGATCTTTCACGTTGGTTGAGAAACACGTGGAATCATCGAAAAAGTTAGGCTTTTGTGAACCAATACTAAATGAGGTCCGATAAATCGTGAGAAATTGATAGCAGTGCTTTTACAAGAAAACGAGGGTCACAAGTATATTCTTGAACGACATGCATACAAACTATAATTAAAAGTTCGTTCAAACGGTTTCAAAATTTGACAAACGTCCGTTCAAAAGAAGTTGAACGGATGTTGTGCAAATGTTGGGAGCAAAAACGAAGTTATGAAGAGGCCTTTCAAAGCGCTTACAAAGGAAAAGTTGAATCAATGTTAAACGAAAGTTTAAACCAATCTGAATTTGATTAAACGCACTTTCAACAAACTTTCACCATTTCTTACATTTTCAACAATGTTAGACGACCTGTTCAAACGCACAGAACATTTGGTTCAACAAAGCGTTGAATGTATATTAAAACAAATGGTGAAACCGTTTAAACGGGCCTTCAGGCTGTTTTGAGTGGTCCTGTTGCTATGGACACCTTTCACTGCGAAGAAAAGATCTCAATATTTTCAATAGATGTTTTGCAATTTTTTTCAACACCAATATCGATGCTAAAATGAAAATAGAAATAACTCATATTGATTAGTGAAAAAAGTAGAGGCAATTCATAGAGAACTGCTTACAAACCATTAGTTTTCAAAAGCTTGTGAGTTCCATAAATGCGTATCCGGAACAAAACAGAAAACTCAAACTGAGGTATTTACGGAGTAGTATTGGAACGTTACTAAGACCGATCGAGCTGCTGTATCCTTGTGCATCATGTTCTTGGGGTTTTGTGGCTAAGAAAGTAAGACTCAAAAGTACAATACCTACGGTGAACATGAGGCTTGGGGTGCCCAGGTTCATTTTAGGCAAGGAAGAGGAGATCTGAACCATAAAGAAAAAAATCAACATTTAATAGGCGGTCCAGGTACAATGATGAAAGTGTCACAGAGCCTGGTAATGAAGCTCTTTTTCAGTTTGACTGCCTTGTAGAATACACAGGTCAGACAGGCCGGCCACGCTATAATGCCGACAACGGTACAATGGCTGCGGAAAGAGTCTTTTAAATGGGTGGAGACATCGTTAAAATTCTTGGAGTTTCTTCAAAGACATTGATTCATTGTACCTGGACAAAGAGCATCCCTGTAACGAACACAGGGCAGGGCCCTTGTAAGTTCGTCGATTTGTTCAAGAAACTGATCTGAGGAACGAAGTGACGCAAGTCGGCTTGAGATCAAACCAAGAGTTATTTCAAAGTCACGAAGACAATAGAGGAGGGAATTCGCATGATTTGGCTCACACTGCTGACCGTTGAGCCCTTCAATTGCTTCGTAGAGAGTTCTCAGAAATTCCTCGAAAAAGTGCTCGAGATGAGATATTTCACCTTGCATTTCTCTTAGCATTATCAGCCGCGATTGTTATGTTTACGCTTACGCTAATATCGTGCTAAGTAATCAGGCAAACTTTTCACTTGTACATCATACAAGCCTATCACAATCTCGACGTATAAATCTTGATGTATATATGAGGATCTTGATGTATAAATGTGAATCTTGATGTCGGTGCGCGAACTTCGATATAATATTTGATTGTCGATCCGTGTAAGAGGAATTTGATCAATATTTATTATTATTAAAAACTGGATCATTGGATAATGCAATTCAAGACTTTTCATTGGCTTAGCCATTATGGTATATGAGCCAATATACCATAAACTACGATATGGTAAGCGTACGCGTAAGCTTAAAATTAAAAGGGAGCTAAAAATTTAATAAAAATTAATAATTTAATACAGTGTTTTTAATAAAACAATTATTCCACTCGCGTTTGTTGGATATGAGATGATTATAGCCAACTCGGCGCTACGCGCCTCGTTGGCTATCTATCATCTCATATCCAACGCGCGCTCGTGGAATAATTGTTAA